TAAAGGCCAGGGTCCCATTGACTTCTTTGGGATGGAAGCTTGCAGAAGGCATGGGATGTTCAGCAAAATGCATCTGAGGGCAGTCTGTCCAATTCTGTTTTCAATTTTAGGGGGAGTCCATCTGTGGGCCTCAGAGCCAGGAGCCCCTCACTCCTATGCTTAAAAGGCATTAATGCCTCCTCTGCCTTTTCCATTATTGTAACCTGAAGCTTTGTACATCCTTGAGCATCCCTGGTAAAGTGCAGATGCTCGCAGCCAACACCGACTTTATCATTTTACACTGTTGTGGTCATATTACAAGGAGCACCCCGCTCATGGGCACAGAAGCACTGCAACTGACCATTGGCAGACGTAGATGGGGTGTTGGCCCAGCCCAGGTCTGTGGTCAGGGGCCGGGATCTGGTTCTGCCAGCTGGACACTGTGGCATCTCAACAGCATCCCATGACCTCTCTGGTATGATTCCTTTGCTGTGAAATGGAGACCATTGCGCTACCTACCCTCAGGGTTGTAGCCCACCTGCGAAGGAGGTGCCTAAACTGTCAGGAACAGGATAGAGGTTGGTGACGGGCATCCTGAGACGAACTTAGACCTGGCCCAGTACTAGCTGGAGGTGGCCAATGAGTACCAAAGGAGTATGGCCAGCACTGAGGGCTCCTCCGTGTGCATGTCTTCCATTGCAGCAGGCTGGGTTAGGCTGGGCCTCTGCCTGGAGAACCACGCAGAGGCCAGCAGCTGTGACAACAGGAAGACAGTGACACAGGCCCTGCCTTGGGGTGGATCAGAGGGGAGAGGGGGCTGAAAGTGAAGCACAGGCCCAGCTCTGCTGCCATTACCTGTATACCCTTGGGTGACTTACCTGGCTGAGCCTCAGTTCCCTCTTCTGTCAAAAGGGGACACCAATAGACTATCCCTAGAGGGTGATTCTGAGGAAGGATGCCCATTGGCACATGTTCAAAGATGAGGGAGAACAGATTCTGTTGCAGGATCAGGGGTTAGAGTTGAGCTGCTTGCAAGGGCGAACCTAGATGCAAGCATGAGATGAACCTCTGCAGCAGGCAGTGCAGGTGTGAGATCAGAGGCTAGTCCATTGAGGGGTCTAATGGGGCTGCTGGACCCTGGTGGCCACCTCAAAGCGAGAGGTCACATGGTACCTACCAATGTTTGTAATCCTTCACACAGAAATCCTCATTGATGGCCTCCTCTGCACTAGGCACAGTTCAAGGTCCAGTTCTAGGATTTAGAGAGACCCAGCCCTGCCTGCTAGACCTTCCTGTCTGTGGGGCAGAGGCCGACAGCGGAACACAACCCACCATTGCAACTGTTCGAGGCTTGATGGTGGAGACCCACCAGAGAGTTTTATAGTTAGCTTTTTAAATTTGAGAGGGAGGAAGGCAATTTTTTGTTTCATATTTACAGTGGGCATGTTCCCATAATGTGTATTGTCCTAATATAAAGAATCAGGTAACAGAAACAACTAGTCAGTCCTGAAGAAATGAAGCAGAGAAGTCAGTGCATGAGGCTGGGTTCAGGGGAGGACCGTGGGATCGCGGGGTAACAGCATGTGTCAGGAGAAGGTGGTGCGGTGGCTGCAGCCATGTAGAGAAGGAGCTGGCCCAGAGGTGGGGCTGGGTGATGGGGGGACCAAAGAGGGGGCCCACATGAGATGCCGGAGGAAGGGGTGGCACTTGCTAGGCAGGTGGAAGAGCAGTTGTCAAAGTGGCCAGGAAACCAGGGAGTGTCTCAAGAAGGAAGACAGAGTTAATCATGTCACATGCTATTGCAAGCAAGGCTGAGTAAGCTGAGGCCAGAGAAACATCCCCATGGGCAAAGGCAGGCACAGGCGGGGGTCATTCTGCCAGGAGTTCAGGGCATGGGGGCCATACAAGGCTAACGCTGGACAGGTGAGTCACTATGAGTGATGGTGGGCCCAGGGTGCCAGGCACAGATGTGTAGTCCCAGGGCTGTGTCATGAGTCCTTACTGGCCAGGACGACAGGACCAGAGACAGCATCTGGGCTCTATGGTAGAAAGGAATAGGGCCCTGGTGACTGAACCTATCCAGCACCTCACCAACCCAGCAGGGACAACTGGCTGAGGAGCCTCCCCCGGAGGTGGTGTCAACCCCGCCCCCAGGAAATGACCAAACAGCAACCGAAGTGGGGGTCCACGCCGTGGGCATCGTGACCCTCAATCCCAGCGGAGCTTCCTGGCTCATCAGCTGCCACACCCATCCTCGCACATCAGCCATGCTGAATCAGGGCCCTTCCCAAACACTGGTGGCCCATGCCTTCACCTCTCTACCCCATGAGGCCCTGCTCCCCTGGGCCTCCCTTCCTGCACATCAAGAGCCCTAGGACCCTGGAACTCCTCCTCTACACATGTGTCAACCTGTGCTGTAATGACCAGTCCTGTCCGACTCTCCCACTAGTCTCCCCAAGGGTGGTGCTGGTGGTGTCTCACTGTCTGTGGACCTCTAGTGATCGTCCTCTCTGGCTGACTTGGCTCTGCGACTTACCTGTCCTGTTCCCCCAACCCCTACTGGCCAATTTTCAGGCTGTGACAGGGCCGGGTGGGTCTCTCCAGTTTGTTTCCTTGGGGTCTATGCACCATACCCCCAAAGACACTTGAATAAGCTATTGCAGATCTGGGTTAGTTATAAATAGCCAGGCCTGCTACTCTCCTTTTAGCTGAAAAGAAGCGAAGTGAACGAGCAGAGAGGCACACCCGGCATGCTTTTTATTTTTAATTTTCTCCCTCTGTCTCAAAAAGAACCCGGGTCCCTGTACTCAGCATTTCTAGAAGCAGAGGCCCTAGACAAATGCCTGAGAAACGAAACCTGGGGAGCTGAGGGCCCTAGCCTGGCTCCTGCTGCTGTGTGGCCTTGGGCACTTGAGGTGCCCCTCTGGCCCTCGGTTTCCTCATTAAGGTGGGGGGCAGTGGTGGTGATGACTTTGACCCCCTCCCTGTGCGCTGCCTCCTCCAGCCCCCCAGCCTGTGGCTCCAGCAGTAGTGGTTTTCCCTGGGTTTCCCTGGAAGGCCAGACCTAGGTGCAAGTGAGGCCACAGTCAAGCCCTGATTGGTTGGTGCACAAATTCCTCACTGCCCCCCCACCCCTGTCCCCGGGCCTTTGCTCAGGTGTTGTCAGCCAGGAACCTTCTCCCTCCATCAGCCAGCAAAATCCTTCTTGGAGAGTAAAATTGTCACCTCCCCACTGTGAGCTGCCCAGGCTGTGGCTGAGAGGGACCCATGCCCGGGGCAGGTAGGGAGCCTGTGGACTGGTGCCTGCACGGGAAGCAAAGCAGGGGCGGGAGGCCTCAGTGTGCTTCTGTCGGTGGTCTGTCTAGAAGGGAGGGCTGACAGAGAGAGAGGCTCAGGCACCCAGGAGAGGCGACTTGTGTGGCCCATTGCTAGGCACTCCTGCAGGGCAGGGACTGTACAGCTTTTGTCTTTGTATCCCACTCCCTCCCCCTTATCCCTTCCCCACAGGTGCTTGTGGCTGGGACTCAATGTTGGTGGAATTTGGGACTCTTGCTGTGCTAGGCCCAGATGTCCTGGGCATACAGTGACAGTCCCTTACACAGAGCATGTTCCCACCCACTACCCCATTGGCACTGCAAAACCCCCTACCAGGTAGGCTCAATTTAATAATGAGGAAACCAGGCTCAGAGAAGTTAAATGACTTGTCTAAGGTCACATAGCTGGATACATTTAGAAGTTCAAACCTAGGCTGTTTGGGGGAAATCTTGTATTAAAGCTTTAAAAAGCCCAGTACTCTTGATCAACAGGAAATGGCTTTTTCTGTCGTGAGTGGCTGCTCCACCACCCCAATGAGGAGCTGGCCAGGGGCACTGGGAGCTGCTGGACCTGCCACCCTGCTGCCCTGCCTCTCCACTCCCCTCACTCCACCCCTCTCACCCTGGGGCTGCCATTTGATGTCCTTTGAGAGTGAAGGAGAAAGACTGGAGTGACCTCTTCAAAGAGGAAATCCTGGTGCTAATTGGCACACAGAGACCTTTAGGCTAATTAGCCTGTTTATTTGTCTCTCTCGAGTAAATTAAAGGGTTTAGCTGGGGAGGGCGGAAGAGAAAGGTGTTTGCTCCTGGCCACCTCTGTGGGGGTGAACTGATGGGGAGGCAGAGGAGAGGGTGGGCTTCAGGGTAGTAGTAACCGCTGCCCTTGTGCCATGGGGAAGGGCTGCTCTCCCTGGCGGCATCTCGCTCACTTCCCCGTGTGTGCTGCTCTGGGCACATGGGAACTGGGCCCCTAGGGCTGCCACTGGGGCCGGTTCTGGGGCAGGAGCACGCAGGCATTCCCCAGGAGGGACCGGGGCAGAAAGAGCAAGGTGGAGCCCCTTCACCAGGGAGGCTCACTGCCGGATCCCCCTCCCTTGGTGCACCAGGCCCTTTCACAACCCCTTGGCCAGACTCTATGGATTTCCTGTCACCTTTGGTTAGGGACACAGCTTTTTGGTGGATAAGTTGCTGGCCTGTTCACTCTAAATCTTCCCCCTTAGGCCCCAATTCAAGCTCTTTCTCCTGACTTCAAGGATCAGCCAGTCTGGTCTGGGGTCTTTAGCAGCTTAGAGATGTTGCAGGTGGGAAGGAGGGGCCTAGCTGGTCTCCCACTCAATGCTTCCCTCTGCTGCAGGGTGGGGAAGGGACAGGGGCTCCTGTGTGCCTGGGTTCCCCAGGGGTGAGCTGCTGTGCTCTCCAAGAGGTGGCTGCATCCCAGGTCACTGAGCACCTCTTTAAGGCCAATGCTCCCCAGTCATAGGCGACCAAAGGTTGGGACCTTTCCAGGTCCTCTGGGGACTCATGGACCCCAGCCCTGCTTATCACCCTGCTGGCTGCCCAGTCGTCCTGCCTGGTAGTGGGGGCATTTACAGGTTGTCTTGTCCAGCCTCCTGCAGGACCCTGCAGGACTCTCCTCACCCCTGCATGACACCCAGCATGGGTAGGGGATGTGTCAGCCCACCCTCAGTGCCCTTTCCTTTCCCACAGGGGCCCAGGGCATTGTCATCAGCGGCCTGATCCCCTCGCTGGTGCAGAAGCTGCACCTGGAGGAGGAGAGGATACAGGAACTCCTCCTGGACACACTGGCGGCCTGCCTGCTGGAGGATGCCACCGAGGCGCTGACCAGCCGCGTGGTGCCCTTCCTGAAGGAGATGCTCCTCAACAGCAATGAAAAGATCCGCAGCAAAGCCGCCTATACGCTTATTACTGTCAGGTGAGGCCTGCCGTGCAGATGGAGCAGGGAGGGCGGTGGTGGCCGGCCCTGGGCCCAGCTTCCCCAGGTGACATGCAGCACCGTCTGTTCAGAGACTGTTCTGATGTTGCAGCGTGGGAGTGAGGGGGTGCTCCTGGCATCGAGTGCGTACAGACCAGGGACGCTGCTCCACATCTTATGATGCACAGGACAGCACCCCCCCAACACACACACACACACAGAGGCCAGTGGTGCGAGGTGAGAACCCTGCTCCTGCCTCAGCGGCACTTGCTGTGGGATCCCTGCAGGACCCTGCACCTTTGTCATGTTCCTGAGGTGGAAGTCCACTCACCTTAAACTCCACAGCCTCACAATATCAGAGCCAATGGCTGGCCAACCCTGTGCTTTCCAGACTGGGACATGAAACACCTGTGTCTTTTGAGCTTTTATTAAGAGTGTCGCCCATATGAAAGGTCTATGGGCAGCGAAGTTTGGCAAAGGTTGATTCAACTAAGTGACTTGGGCCCTTTGCTGCAGGAGGGCCGTGCACTGTGACTCTCCCATAGGGCCCATGGGCAGTGTTTCCTGGCCCAAGGACCCTTTCTCTTTTAGGGGACGGTGTTCACCCTCTCACACTTTGGGAAGCTCTTTGGAGTCCTCTACTTTCATTTTCATAGCTTCATACAATGCCAGGATTAAAAGTGACCAAAAAGGTCATGTCACCTGAGGGTGACTGCTGTTTGCATGGCTTAGCCTGTCCTGCCAGCTAGAACTCTTAAGGAGACAAAATGAGTCTCCCTGTGGTTCCCACCCTCCCTGGGTCCTGCTTCTTCCTCTTTAGGGGCCAGGGCATATGTTTGGTTTCTTCCCATGATACCTAGAGCAAGCTTCCATCACCCCCTGGCTCCTGGGAGGTCTTACCTTCAGTGGCTCCAGGCCATGCTCCCTGGTTGTCTGAGTGTAGGAAAGAGGCTCAACCTCACACCAATGTCCCAGGCCCTGGCCAGGCCTGGACCGCCAGGGATGGTCCCAACACAAGTCCTTTCCTCTGGTGTCCCCCTGGGGTGGTCCTGGGTCCTGATCCCTTCCTCCAACCAAGCAAAGCCACTGAGTTGCCCCCTCTCTGGCCTAGCATCCCCCTGGAGGGCAAGAAGCAGGTGTGGCAGTATGATGTCATCCCCATCTTGGTGCACCTGCTGAAAGACCGGGTGGAGGAGGTGCAGGCCAATGCCGCTGGGGCCCTCATGTACGCCATGGTGACCACCGAAGGTGAGGCAGTCTGCTGGGTGGGTATCCAGGTGGGCGAGGTATCCTGTGTGGGCGCTGGAGCTAACTGGTGGGGGTGGGCATCACTACAGCCTCCCAGCATGTTGGCTACCCTGGCCAGCTTTTCAGAACTCATCTTGCCCCCTTCCTGCCCTGCCAAAATGCTCCTGGCCTGTTGTTGAAGTCCTCTCAAGTCCGGGTCCCAGGTTCTGCCTGCCCTCTTCTTCCTGGCCATAGTGGGCTGCCAGCCATGTCACTTGGTCACTAGCATTAGGATCACTGTCCCTTCCTTGCAGGCTACTGCCTGGGCCTGGAATCCCTGCCTCTGTCCCAGGCCTCCTGTGAGCCCTGATTCTGGGATTCATTAGTTTGCCATTCATGATTCTGTTATCCTGAGGTTTAAGCAAACCCTAGAGCCCTTGCTTCTGTGGTGATTGAAATGGCTTTTCTCAGCTGGGGGTGGGGCTCAGAGTGTAAGATTATCTCCCCAACCGTGGAACTCCCAGCCACTCAGGCTTCTATATGCTGTTATCAAACCCTAGGCTAATGGAAGGGACTGGGCCTGGTTCTCCCACCTGGAGGCCAGGGCAGGCCATCCCTCCATGGTGACCTCTGAAAGCTGTCTGACCCTCCCCATGGCCCACCTTCGCCTGCACCAGCCCTATGTCCACCCCAGGCTTCCTTGGTGTTCCTTGGAGGACTGCCTGGGCCTCTGCTCCTCAATGAGCATGCTGCAAAGACCCCAGAGTGGGGACCTTCCAGCCACTCCCCACTTGACCCTAGTGGTGGAATCTGAGACATACCAGAGGGGGAGAGGTTGGGCCTTCCCAGAGTCCACAGCCCCATTTTGATTGTTGGTTAGGATGCTAACCAACGGGCAGGGGCAGGGGCTCCCTGTGTGTTTATCTCGTGGGCATCCTCAGTGCAGTGTCTCCACTCCGGGTCCCTGTGAGAGCTCTTGGAGGGCCAGAGGGCTCATGGGGGGCCTGGGAAATGGCCTGAACCTAGAGATGCAAGGCCATTTTTTCCGGAGCTGGTACTCCACTGTGCTGGGTGGTAGAGACCCAGATGTCTCAGCCTCGGTGTCTACAATTTGGTGGGAGTGGCAGAGAGATGAGTGACATGAAGGAGAAGTGCTACATGCAGTGGGTTCAGGGCAGGGGCAAAGCCTTCTCTGCGAGGAGTGTTGGTGCTGACCCAGAGGACAGTGGGAGTTAGCAGAGCAAAGGAGGGGCTGGACAGGTCCCAGTAGCAAAAAGAAGAGTGTTCAGGGCAGTAAGGTTGGGGACAGGGGGCAGCCACACCTTTGAGCAGTTGAGGTGGGGTGGGGGGTTGGGGAAGGCAGTGAAGGGTTAAAGAGGGGTGTTTCCTTTACACATAGAATGTCTGTGTCCCCACTGGACTGTAAGTACTATGAAGGCAAGCCAGTTGGGCTGGAGGGGCAGGAGATGACGGAGCCTGACCTAGGCTGGAGGCAGAAGAGATTGCAAGGGCCTGGGTGGGGTGAAGGAGGGCGCTCTGGGAGCAGGTGGCGCCTCCTCTGAGGCTGCATAGGCCAGAAACTGGGGGAGGACTGCGGGGTGCGAGGAGGTGGGGCAGAGGCCCCCTTAGGAATGCCTGGTGTTGGTAACCCACAGGGAAGTATGCAGCCCTGGATGCAGATGTCATCTACCCACTCCTGAATCTGCTGAACTCGACCTTCAGGAAGGCCCGCCTGAATGCCATCAAGGCCCTTACCATGCTGGCCGAGGCCCCAGAGGGCCGCAAGTTCCTGAAGGCCCATCTGCCCATCTTCCGTGTCCTTGAGGTGGAGAACAATGAGGCCGTGCAGAGGGCGGCCCAGGTGGCCATCAAAGTCATTCAGTGGAAACCCTGAGCCTCTTGTGCAACGAGACCTGATAAGCTCCATGCCTGAATAAATGGGCTGAATTTCTTTCTCTTGGGTCTGAATGTCACTGATGTTCATGGTGCATGGTCATATCCCTCTCTCTCCTGCCAAAGGGGACATGCCCAGTCCAGAAGGACCAGGTTACAGGTGGCCAGATGAGGCAGCACAGGCTGAACTCAGGGCCCAGGGACTGGTGGGAAGCAACTCTGCTCTCTGCTGGGACCAAGAGTCCCCTTAGAAGGTAGAGGGCAGGGCTGAGCCTTCCAGGGACAAGAGATGGGGGGAAGGGAGTTGGTTGGGGGTAAGAAACACAGCTGGACCAGGCATCACCCAAGCTTTGGACATTGGAGTGACCAGGACCATGGGGTGTGGCAGGGCATGGCCCTGATCAGCCAGGTCTGCTCCCTTCCCATGGTGGGTAGCAGGAAGGAAGGTCAGAGGTGTCACCCCATGTGTGCTCTTGCTGGAGGAGGGTGAGTTGTAAGAGGCCCTCCCAGGGATGAGCACTCAGGGATGCTCCTTAAGATCTAACGGCAGGAAGTCACCTGAGTAAGCTCTAGGCAGGCCTGATGGCACCCCTGCCCCCCACCCTCCCCTGTGCTCAGCCTGGCCCAGGTCTGTTTTGCCTCCACCTGCCTTGCTTCTCCCCCAAAGAGAAACTCGCTGAGGAGGCTGAAGGCTGGGGAGAGGGGAGAAGCCAGGTATGCAGGGGGACCCCTTAATCCCCCCACCCATCCCTGTCTCGTTTGGCAGGGTGACTATTCTCCAACCAGTTCTGAGCTCAACCAGTTTGGAGAAGCTGTGTGTGTGTGGGGGGGCTTAGCTGAAGGGCTGGGCTCATTTGTCTGGGCTGAGCTAGAGCCTTAATCCTTTCCCATGAGCTTTTGGAGGCTCCTTGCCTCAAACAAGGTCTCCCTCATTATGTCACCACCCAGCAGCATATTTCCTGTGGGACAGATCCTCCCTGGCTCACGGCATGCCCACTCCTCCCAGAGTAAACAGTATCAGCAGGGCCAGAATTCCCAAATGAGCAGCCTCTGGCACTCCTTTCAGCGACTGGGCCCTTAACTTTCCTAGAAGAAACTGAGAAGTCTGTGTCCCTGGAATTAGAGGATTAGCCCAAATAGGTCCAAGAGGGTGTATTTGTTCCGAAAGGGAGTGGCTGCTGGGGCCAGCTGGGGCAGGTTAAACCTTATTCTCAAAACAGGTCCCATAAGGGAAACTTCTTTAGGAAAACAGGTGCTCCAAGGGCTCCAGTTCCTCATGTCCCCACCTCGCCTCAACCCACAGCAGGCTGGCTCCACCCCTACTACCTCACTAAAGGACTCTGGCCTCCTTGCTGCCACGATGCTGGGCTCTTGTGATTGACATGTGCAGTGGCCCAGATGTAGATGTTCCCTTCCCATGGCAGCTGCCTCCTCCAAAGGCTCTGGCTCTGCCCTCTTGCATTCCTTTGTAAATCTCTTTCTTTACATGACCAGGGTGTGTTTCTCACAGATGTGTCCTAGGCCCTCTCTCCTCCCAATCTCCCGCACAGTCTCACCTGCTTGACACAGGCCTCCTCTACTAGGTTCCCTTCTTAGCTAGGCCTGCCTGCTGCCTTCTTTCCTCCAAATCTGGGTCTCCAGCCCCAGCCTCTCTCATGAGTTCTGGACCCTTCTATCCAACTTAACATCTACCCTTAAATGTCTCCAGGCAAGAATGAATACCAATCCTTCACAAAATATTCCCAAAAATAGGAGAGGAGGGTACACTTCCCAACTTATTCTACGGGGCTTACATTTCCCTGATATCCAAACCAGACAAAGACATAAGGAAAGAAGACTACAGGCCCTTTATGAATATAGACAGGAAAACTCAACCAAATATTAGCAAACCCAATCCAACCAAATACAAAAAGCATTATACACCATGACCAACTGGGATCTATCCCAGGTATGTAAGGTGGTTTAGCATATGAAATGCATCAATGTAATATATAAATAGAAAAAAAGACAGAAATCACATGATCATCTTAATACATGCAGAAAAAGCATTTGATGAATTCCAACACCCATTTATATATGTATATATAAAACCTCTCAGAAAACTAGGAATAGAGGGAAATTTCTCAACATGACAACATCTGCAAAAACTCACAGCTAACATCATACTCAATGGCGAAAGAATGGATGCTTTCCCCCTAAGGTCAGGAACAAGACAAGGATGTCTGCTCTCACTACTTCCATTTGACATGAAATAAAAGGCATCCAAATTTGAAAGAAAGAAACTAACTCTGCCTGGTCTGCCTGGCTCAGCATCGACGTATGATCCAGGAGATGGTGGTTTGATTCCTGGTCAGGACACATGCCCGGGTTTTGGGCTTGATTCCCAGCATGGGGCGTGCAGGAGGCAGCCAACCAATGACTTTCTCATCACTGATGTTTCTCTCTCTCCCTCTCCCTTCCTCTCTCTCTGAAATAAAAAAAAGAAGTAAACTATCTCTAGTTGCAGACTATATGATTTTGTATGTGAAAAATCCCAAGGAATACACTTACAAACTATTAGAATAAACAAGTTCAGCAAAGTTGCAGGATACAAGATCAAAAATTGTTTTGTTTTTTTTTATACACCAGCAACAGAAATCCAAGAATGCAATTAAGAAAACAATTCCATTTACAATAGCATAGAAAATAATAAAACACCTAGAAATAAATTTAGCAAAAAAAGTATAAAACTTGAGTGCTAAAAACAAAATATTGTTGAAAGAAATTAAAGAGGAACTAAATAAATGGAAAGACATCCCATGTTCATGGATCAGAAAACTTAATATTGTCAAGATGGCAATTACTGTAGTATCTTTATGCAACTCAAAGTTAACATGTCCCAAACAGTGCTCAGCTTCTCCACTCCCCCTCCCCCCCGCTCTTTTTCCAGTGTGGCCTGTCTTTGGGGTGGTATACCCCCTGCTCATATGCTCAAGCTGGAGAATCACCCTGGCCTCTCCCTCCAGAAGTCTAATCACTGGAGTCCTGTTACTTCTAATAGATGGCTACACTTGATACCATTCTCTTCTCTTTAGTTCTCTGCCACTAACTTGCCTGATTGCTCTATCAGTCTTCCGTTGGGTGTACTGGGCTCCCTTTCATCTTTCCAGCAGCAGCCAACAAATCTGATCCTGTAACTTCCCCTCTGAAGCTCCCAGGGACTTAGGATCACAAAGCACATATGGCCTTCAGGTCAGGCCCCTGCCCACCTGTCCTCTCATCTCCCATTCTCTGCTCAGACCACGTCCCAGCATCCTCAAACATGTGCTGAACTCTTGCCCCATGTCTTCCCACAGGTCATCCCTTCTGTTATCCAGCTAACTGACCTCTTCCTTTGGTCACGGGAGGCCTTTCCTTACCCGGAGGCTGGGTGGGCTCCCTTCTCGGCACTTCTGCAGTGTAAACAATGCATGGGGGCCATTGTTGACCTTAGTGTCAGGCAGGGCTGCTTCAGGCCTCATGCCCACTCCCTATTTATTAGGGTCCCTTGCTGAACCTCAGTCTCCTCCCCTGTGAAATGTGGTTAATTCTACTTTTACCACAAGGGTGGTTCTGTGGCTTGAATGTAATAATGCTTTTACCCCAGGAAGGAAAGCAGCAAGCCACACTAAGTGCTGGCCATCATTTAGGTGGGGAGGGGCCTGACCAGCAAGCCTTATATGCTTTGGGATCCTAAGTCCTACAGGTGTTTCATTCTGTTTCCCTCTATAAGCCACGTGCTTTGTTGACACCTGTTTCCTTGCAGCATTTGGCATGTAATAGGCACTAAAAAATGTCAGCTGAAGAATTAAACTAGGAACGAGGAGCTGGTCATGTTAGTGTACCTTCATAGTGTGGTTTTGTGATGCCAGTGGGTCTTTCCAAATGATTTCAAGGCACTTGAAAATTTTTCTAAAGACACAAATGATTTATTTTGGCCAGAGGAGAATTAGGAGGGTGCCCCTGCAGAAACACATACTAGGAGTGGCCTGTATTTGACAGCTAAAGGGAATCTTAACTCCTGGACCCAACTCCAATTGCATCCCAATCACTTATAGACTGGGAGGGACTGGGAAGGGCTTGGCAAGGATGGCACGGCAGCAGCCAGACAATGCTAAATGGTAGGGGGGCCTGTTCTCTAGGGCAGAGACTGCCTCAGCCCCTCCACTGGTCCAGTAGGAGCCCAAGTTTCCATCCACAGGCAGATTTGGCCCCAGCTGCCTGTGTGGTCATTAGTGGGCATACACCTGTGGGTAGGAACCCCAGCACAGGGGGTGGTGTGCTTACACTACATGGCATTTTTGCCAGCAGGGGCACACATTTGAAAAGGAGAGAACAAGAAAAATGGAGGTTGGGTATAGGAAGGAAATGGTGACAGTAAACACAAGTAAAAACCCCAAATACATCTAGAGATGAAATGCCAAAATTAAATTTAAAGTGAAAGTCAGTGTTTATGCAGTAGAGCCATTTGGAGAAAATGACTCATTTTGTAAAGGGGCAGATGTTCACATTTGCATAGTCTCTGCAATTGTGGATGGTCTTTACTCTGTCCCCTTAGCAGGCATGCCCTGCAGCTGGTGGCACTTGATGAGTGACACTGAGGGAGCATTTTCATTAGCGTAATCCTTGGTCCCATATCTGTGGGTCTCCCAGTAGGAAATACTTCCTCCCACAACGATGAGGGAGTCTGGAAGAGGTGGCAGTTTGCCTGCTCTTCCCAGATGCCTCTAGGCTGAGCTGCTCTAGTGGTAGAGGATGTGGCACAGGACAGTGACTAGTAGCAAGAGGAGTGCACTGATATCAATAACTTTTCTCCAGAATGGTGACTCCAGCTTGTTACAGTGCACTGTCTCTTCAGATGTGGCACCATGCTCCTTCATTTTCTCCATGGTTACCTTTTCTGGGATCAGTCTGGAGCCTGGAATCGGCTCCAGGCCACATATTATGTCCAAAGCCTTCCAGAAGCAGGCCCGGCTCTCTCTTAATAATTCTGGAACAGAGGTAAGAGGCAAAGGTCAGGAGGCACAGGCCAGGACACAGGAGAAAACACTTTCTAGGGGGTCATGTCTCAGTGATGAGTCCAGCAGGAAGACCGATATAGCCTTGCTTGAATATAGAACAGTCCTCAGTCCCTGCTATGGAACATTACCACCATCCTCAGAGATCTGGGAATGTGGGATAAGGGGCTGCCTAGGGCCATGCTTATCTTCTATTAGCAAAGCCTTTGGCTGGGCCCAGGAGCAGGCTAGCCNAGTCCCTGCTATGGAACATTACCACCATCCTCAGAGATCTGGGAATGTGGGATAAGGGAAGCATGTGGGGGCAGAGTGGGGCTGCCTAGGGCCATGCTTATCTTCTATTAGCAAAGCCTTTGGCTGGGCCCAGGAGCAGGCTTGCTTCAGCATGCCCACCCTTCTCAGTCTCGGGCACACAGCCAAACACAGCTTTACAGGTCTAGGGCAAGTGGCTGCTCCTCTGAATCCCACTCCCCAGTCATTACTCTCCCGGGGGATGGAAGAAGTCTATTGATTTCTCCAGACAGACACGGCCCTCTTTTGCAATGTCTCAGGGAATGTCTTCTCCAGGCAGGCATGTCTCACAGCTGGGCCCAAAATAAGGCTCTCCAGGCCCTTGAAGGGGAATCACTGGTGTTTTCCAGGAGGCAAAGGAGGAAAGTCTAGGAATTATAGGAACGTTTCCACTCATTTCTCTAGGCCCACTTCTCTCCTGTCAGTGCAGCTCATGCTGGCTGAGCCTCAGCACCCCTGCTCAGACGCGGTCAGCACCACGGCCAGCGCCGGTGCAGCCCTCTGGACCCAGCAGAAGCCTGGGCATGTTTTCCTTGATGAAAAGCACATTTCAGTCAAAGCAGATGTGCCCTGCAGTGTGCGCTGTAATGTGCTCTGTGTCTTATCCTGATGGGCAGCATCCACGCCAGCTGCGTCCTGAGGCTAAGGTGGCACCAGGAATGTGGAACCCATCAGCCAGGGACGGAGGAGCCTCTGTTATAGGGGGAGGGTGGCTGCAGCCAGAGGACCTCCAAGCCAGGGACACCAATATCTGCTATTGGTGCTGAGAAGTCCTGAGCGGCACACTCTGGCCCTGTTCTCTCAGATGCCCATGTTAGCACACCACCATGCAGCTGACAGGCCACCTCTTTGGGCAACAGCCTAAGAGCAGTATGATGGGAGGTGGGGTCAGCAAGGGGCCAAGAGCACACACTTTGGAATCAGACTGCTTGTGTTCAAATCCCAGCTCCACCACTGCATAGTTATCTATGGACACTACAGTAAGTCATTTAACTGTTCAGTTCCTCAATTTCCCCATCTTTAAAGTGGGGATAACAATTGTACTTCTCAAGCATGGGGATAATTTTGACAGTGGCTGGCACATCCCATATGGTAATAAATGTTAGCCACCATCATAATCATCACCACTCATGACAGTGGGTGAGAAGAGGAATTGAGAGGTGCACCAAGAACAAGCGCCTGGCATACTGTGGGCACCCAGCAAACCATTTTCCCCCCATCAAAGAGAAATTCCTAGGGACCCCCATATCCTCCAGATGTGTGGACTATCCTTGCTCAGAGAGGCCACACCCCTGGCCCACAATTCTGTGGCAAAAGTCCAAGGAACCCACCCAACCCGAGGTCTCCTCTGTGTCAGGAGGGAGCCCAGGCCTCTCTGGGCTCTGAACTTCCCTGGCAGGAGTGAAGAGGGGGCACTAAAACAGTCTTCTCCTCAGGCAGGCTCTTCCCTTCCTCTCCCTTTCTCCTTCCCCCAAACTCCCAGCCAACCCAGCATTCTCTGCCCCAGACTCAGGACTAATCTCCTTAGACCTTTATCCCTGTTTGCGTCAGGGCTTAAGCAGCTCAGGTCATCCTCCCCATGGCTCTGAAGACTCCTTTTCTGACCCTTCCTGCTGAAACCCTTCCTTTGGGCCCTCAGGCCTGCAGGGCCCAAGCCTCCCTGGAACATTCCCTCTCTTCTTGCTTGAAGTCTAGTTGTCCTTGGACCTGCTTGCCCCCAGTGCCCTCTTAGATGGGGTTGCTCCCCCTTACAGACTATCTCCTGCCCCCCTCCGAGAAACCCTCTCATTTTGAATCCCTGTGTAAGTCTCCCCTCCCCTCCCCCACACTGCTCTTGTCAAGGCTCATGATCTCTGTGTGGCTAAATCCAGCAGCTAGCTCTCAGCATCTTTCTCCACTCATCAGCTTCTGTCTCAGTGGATTGATCACTCATCCCTCAAAATGCTTCTGTTCTTGTGCCCCTCAGTTGGCTCCTCCCCACGGCCTGGAGTGTCCCTGCGTTTCATGCCGGACCCCTTCTCCCCAAATCCCCCACCGTACACACCCTCCAGGGGTGGCCCAGTGCTTCTGATGATGTCTCCCACATGGGTCTCCCAGCCAAGACCACTCCCCATAGATATCTGAGAGGCATCTCACCCACAAACCACCGAAGGCATCTTAAGGAAAATGAAAGACATGGCCTCTGCCTGGGGGAGCATTTCTGGAAGTGGAGAAGGTGGGCAGGGGGTGCTGGGGTGGCAGCACAGCCCCCCCCCCCAAACTCCAAACAGAACTCCCTCCCAGGGCTTTGGCTCCTCCTCCTCACCTGGCTGTGTTCGTAGAGCAATTCTCTTCCCTTGCATTGCTGCATCCAGATCTACCCTTTCCTCTTGGCTATTTCGTAAACTCCAACAGAGCCGGTGGAGCTAGGGGGAGAGCATGTCACCACTCAGGGCATGTCACCACTCAGGGCTCTGTCACAAAGGCCTTATGGTGCCATGGCTGGCAGGTGGGCACTGGGGTCTTGATAGACTGAAAAGGGACCTGGCCCTTAGGCTCCAAGAAGAGATAGAATGTGGGGTGGGGAAAGCGTGGCACTTGGCAACCCTGGATTTCAGTTTTGGCTCTGCTACCATGTGGTTGTGTGGCCTTGGCAAAGGATGACACAACCTTCCCCGGCCTCAGTGTCCTTCAGTTGTATAGTAAGGAGTGGGAGGCAACTCGCTCAGGGCTCCTTCCGGTTCTGAGGTTCCAGGAACCTGTGCCCAGCATGGTGAAAGAAGCCTCTCATCACCCATGGTCTACTTCTTCCAGTGGAGGAGGCCCCCTCACAGGATGAATGGGACAGGGCAGACCCAGGAGCTGCTTTCCTTCCAGGTCCTCCCTGGCTGTCAGAAATGAGCACTAACTCAGACCCGAAGAGGGTTTACCTGGTTTACCCAGTTAACCTGGCCCCTGGCTGAGCTCAGTTGCTCAAGCTCAACAAACAAGGCATTTGTAGATGCAGAAGGGGAGCATCCCTTCCCTTCTAGTCTGTGATTTTGTTCTTTTCCTGAAAACATACATGAAAACTTTGAGAAGTAACAAAATCCAGCCAACTGTTGTTGCCTCCCCCATCCCCCAATGGCTGAGGTCAGCAGAAGCCCAACAAAGTGAACATCCCCACCAAACTTATCCTGGAATAGACTTTAACCTATCGCTGTACCAGCCTGGATCTGATCCCCAGCATATGGCAGGGATGTGAATGAGGAGGGCTGGGCCCCCTCCCCAGCCAGCCCTCTAAGACCTGCCTTAGCCTCACCTCTTGGGTTAAAGTGTTGGAACTAAACTTTTGCTGTGTTAATAAGAGACTGGGTTTAGCCTTTAAGTGCTTCCTGATGATGCCATATGTACACATTTGCCTTTCCAACTACACTCTTAGCCCCCTGTGGCCCAGGCCCTGAGCACACTGAGGAGCCTGGGCTCACCTGCTGTCCCTCCTCCCCGGTGGCGCTGAGCCACAAACCCTAATTTTCCTCTTCACCTCCCTGCCTGCGGGCAGCTGCTTGTGTTCTCCAGAACACCAGGCCTGCTGCTGGGCAGGTGGGAAACACTTGGCAAGTGCTTGGTTGCCTGGGAGGCAGGCAAAACCAAAAAGCTGAGAGTAACAGAGGCGTAGAAAAGAACACAGTCTAAACCATTGAGACCCTGAGCAACAGGAAATTAAGTCCATCGTCTCCAGCTTCTCAAGCTGCCAGAGCAGGGAAGTCTCCCACTGTCACTGATGCAGGGGTGATGTGTGGTGGGCCCGCAGTCCAACAATCCTGGCTGTCCTTCCCACTGGCTCCATCCCTCTTCCGACTGGGCTGTGTGTGCCAGAGGGCAAGGAATCAAATGGAAACTGCTTAGCAGTAAGTGTGGCCAGAGGGGAAGACCAAGGGTAAATTGGGAACCCTGAAGCAGTCTTCCAAGTTCATGGCTTTTACCTATACCCCCAGGTGAAGGTGTAGGAAAGGCATAAAGCATTCTGAGCTTCTCCGGAGACTTTGGACTTTCAGGACCTTCCTGCTTTCTGGCTCAGCCAGGTCCCTGTCCTGCGAAACCTACAGGCTGAGACACAGGAAGTGATGTGGTGCAGCCAGGTTGGGGCACAGGTGTGCCATTTACTAGTTTTGGTACCTTGGACAAAGAACTTAACTGGTCTGAGCCCAAGCATTCTAATTTTCAACTTGAGTGACTGATACCTGGCTCCTGAGAGTGTGAACATGCCAGGAGAGACTGAGAGGTGCCCACCCCTGAGCTGGCCACAGGGAGTTGCCTGAATTACTGTCCCCTCCTCTTTCCTGTTGGCTCAATTCCCTTTGGGTGATGGCAGTTGGGACTGACCTAATTACATTAATTCATACCGAGGTTAGGGAACTTAACACTTCTAAGGAAAATTTGTATTTTAAAAGCCAAATTTCTCATTCTAAGTGAGTACCTAATTGGCAGAGGTTTGCTGAAAAGGTTTTTAGTTTAGCTTTGTTTTTAAGGCAGGGCCCTTTCTGTGTTACTTGCCTCATCCCCTATGCCTGGCCCCAGCCCTCCCACTTTAGAAACAAATGCAAGGATTCAGCCACTTCTGTTCAAAGTGAGCAGAGCCAAGTCCCTGCTTGCTGGGACAATGGGACTATTGGTTGACCCCTGGATACCTGAATGGTAGCACTTACGTGTTTATCCGGAATTGGGTCTGTGACTAAGGAGATCCCCAGGACGATGACGACAGTGAGTATAAAGAGGAATATGGAAAAATAGAGGTAGTGTATGCCACAGATGAACCGAGGGCACTTGCTGTTTGCTAAGCAGGTACTGCGTCCGTAGGCAAACTCAGACACCATTCGAATGAAGCCAATCAGGAATCCACCAGCCAGCCCCCAGAAGGCACCCTGCCAAAGGAGGAGCCCAGAGAGAGTCATCTGAGAGGAAGGTGGGTGATGCAGCAAACCATCTTCAGTTTCACCTCCCTGACTAGCTGAGTTCTAAAGTCAACCCTGTCATAACAGGGGCTTTGAATACCTTGCAGAAGTACTGTGAGCACCAGTGTGAGATACCTTCCTGGGCTCAACAAAGACCTGAGATACTTGCACTCCTTCTTAGGTTAATCAGAGAACTTCAGAAACACTGGAAACACTTTTAAGTTAGGTCATAAATAGGTATCTCAAATGTAACATGTCCAAAAAAGACCCTAGTCCATCCCATTGCTGTAAGGGGCACCTCCATTTCCTTGGTTGCTCAGGTTGAAACCCCAGGTGTCATCCCTGCTTCTTTCCTTTCCATCCTGCCCTCCCACCAACCCATCAGCAAATTCTGCTGGCTCTACCTCTAAAATGTACCTGGAACACAGCTACTTCCCATCTTCTCTATGGCCAGCACCCAATCCCACACTGCCATCTTTCCTCACACAAGTTGTTTCCCTCCTTGGTCTCCTGCTTGCCCACTGTCCCCACAGAAACCAGAGCGATCTCTTCAAAGCATATAATGGAGAAGACCATGCCTTTGCTTAAACTCTGCAATAGCTTCTCATGACTCACCATCACAATCAAAGTGTAACTCTGCTCTTTGGCTGACCCCACCTGGCTCCGCCACCCTCTTTGGCCACTCCTCCTTTGGCCACTCCTCTTTGGCATGATCTCCTCCACGTCAAAACTGTCCACTTTGTTCTTGGCTCAGGCCTTTGTGCTTGCTTTTCTCTCTGCTTGAGCCCCTCCCAAGATCTTAATATTTACTTCTAGCTCATCTTTCAGAGTTCAAATTCAAGGTCATTTTCTTAGAAGTCTGCCGCCACCTTGGCTAATGCCCTCAATTGCCACCCTCCCCCAGCGCCTGCCCTGCTACCCTCCATGATCCTTTTTTTATATGAAGTTTTTATTTATTGATTTAAGAGTGAGAGAGGGAGAGAAAGGGGGGGAGAGAGAGAGAAAGAGAGGGAGGGAGGGAGAGAGAGGAAGACTGATCTGTTGTTCCACTTATTTTTATGCGTTCATTGGTTGATCTGTGTATGTGCCTTGACTGGGGATCAAACTCTCGACCTTCAGGTATCGAGACAATGCTCTAATCAACTGAACTACCCAGCCAGGGCCTCTATGATACTTTTTTATTTTTTCATCAGCACTACATCACTATTAGAAATCTCTATCTGTCCACTGGGTGTCATCTGTCTCCTGTAACTAGACTGTCCACTCCTCAAGAGGGAGGACTTCATCTTGGCTCTGGAGCTGTATCTGGAGCCTGATTCAGTGGAGGATGGATGTCAGAGGAGACAGTGGGAAAATCTCTTGCAGAAAGAGCTCAAACCAAAAGCCAGGTGGATGATCCACAGGAACCATTTACTGAAGGAGATGTGTAGAAAGGGACGGTCTAGAAAAGAAAGGTTATCGGCACTGCAAATCAGTAGGAGTGGGAGGGATCTAGAAACCAGAGGGGCATGCCATCTGAAATAGGGTGGGAGAGAGGACCTGGAGAAGTTCTCTAGGTTGAAGATGGTAACCACAATATGCCTGTAACTTTGGATCAGTGGTAGTGGAAGAGCCACTGCCCAGATCTCCAGTTTTCCTTGGTGACAGGCCCTGATACCTTAAGGCTGGTGTCAGATGGGAGACAGATTCTCTTGCCTGCCTGCCTGCCCCTCGTACCCATGCTCTTCCCAGGAGAGCAAAGAGAAGAGGCTCTGGAAGCCTTGGAGCCCAGTCACTCTCTCCATACATTATTGGTGCTAAATTGCGTCCTGGAGAGGTAAGCAGAGCAGGAAGCACTAGCAGGGTGGTCTAGAGGACTGAGGACCTGAGATGAGCCTGGGAGGAAGCCTCAGCCAGGTGGAGACGGAAAAAGATACTCCCGGCAAAGCAAACACTCCATGCAAACAAAGGGAGGCTGGAGAAGACACGGACAGTTAGGCTGTCAGCACTGCAAGTCAGTGGGAGTGCCAGCGATCTAGAGGCCGCGCACAGAGGGGGCAAGGGCCCCGATCACGGAGCCCTTCAGGACCTGTGCTTAAGAACTTGTGCAAGGCCCAGCACTGAGTGCTGTTAGGGGAAACAAGTTAAAATATGACTCAAATGTTCAGTAAAAATATTCTGGTAAATTGTGCTTTCAAAGTCTTATGAAAGCACAATTAAACCATTCCCTGGGATCTTTATTTAAAGCATGGCTGGAAGAGATGGTCTTCACTAAAAGGAAGGTGGGAGGAGCCCACAACTGTACATCCCACCGTGAGTATGAAATCTCCGAGCATGACACATCCAAGTACAGGAGAAAGAGAAGAATATTTTCCTACAGCTAGATATGTGTGAGGGAGGATCATGCACACTTTGCACTGTCTATGGCATGGCTGAAAGTGGATTACATTGCAAAGGGAGGAAACATCAGAATTTGCCTCTACCTCACATTATAAGAGGGAGTGGGGACCAAATCTTTCCAGGAGTAAATCATCTCTCAGAAAGCAAAGGATGCAATGTTGTGAACCCTTGAAGCACTAGAATCCTCCTAGGGCAACTCTGGCAAAGTTAACGACAATGTGAAGGCAAACCCTTACACTGCGCCATGTGGTGGCCATGCCAACATCCACCTACCTGCTCTGTGACTCTCTTGCAAAATATGGCAAGCACGAAGGTGGCAGAAATGGGTGGCACCAGGTAACTCCTAACTGCCTGAATGTACTCAAACAGCCGTTCACTGTGTATTGTTTGAATAATAGGGATCCAGGTGATGGTGACAGCAAGTAAGATTATAACAAAAAACCTGTAAATTAAACCAACAGTCAATGGTAATTTGGTGACTCCCCCCCCCCCACCAATAAAAAAAAAATCTACAAACCATAAACTATTAACTCGATTATTCTTTAGGTTAAATTCAGGTGCTCATTCATAAGTGTGGGTCAGAGGAGACGGCTATAACCCTAAACACTAATAGAGCCATATGGCTGCAGACAAAAATCTTTCAACTTCTCAACAACAACAAAAGCAGTGTCTATTTGCCTGTTACTGAATCATGGATAGGTTTTTACCATATTTGGAGGGTGGGTTTGGGACAGTCATGCTTAAAACATATAATACATGAAAAACATTAATCTCCTGAGTCGTAATACACTTTTAAACATTTCAGACAGATTAGTATTGCATATGATTCTAAAGAAACAAGTCCAAAAACTTATTTTATTACTTACATTGTGCTGAAAATTTTAAGGAACTGAGTACAGGTTCCAAATGTTCATTACCTTATTTTAAAAAAAGTGTATTGATTTTAGAGAGAGAGGAAGGGGGAGGGAAAGAGAGAGGGAGAGAGGGAGGGAGGGAGGGAGGGAGGGAAACATCGATGAGAGAGCACATCGATTGCCTGCCTCCTGCATGCCCCCTACTGGGGATTGAGCCTGCAACCCAGGCATGTGCCCCTGACTGGAACTGAACCAGCAACCTCCTGGTGCATGGGATGACATCCAAACAGCTGAGCCACACAGGCAAGGCCATTACCTTTTCTAAGGAAAAGATTTTAAAACATGTATCCATATATAAAATCACAATAAATCAAATGTCACCCCAAAGATGAATAAATCTTATTAGTTCTATGTCAACAAAAGCTTAAAAATTATAATTTTGAGAGAGTTAAAGCAAATGATGTTAGAAAGGACTAATACCTTGATAGTCAAAGAAGTGAGTTCCAGTGTCAGTAACAATGGGCTAGCTTGCATGGGACTAACCCTCCCACAGATAACAATGATAAATTCTGGGTCAAATATAAAAACAAAAACACTGAAGAGTAGCCCAAAGCAAGCAGAATTGAGGGAGGGGGAAGGATTAAATCCTTGAAAGAATGAAACCATACTGGGTGCTATCTACATTTATCCAGCATTTTCCCTGAGCCGCTCCCTAATCTGCATGGTGTGGGTGGCTAGAATTTAAACAGAAAGCCTCACTCTTACTGGGTTGAGGAGTCAGAAGACAGAGGTTGGGGATTCAGAATGGCTGAAAATGCTTGGGGAAAATTCCAGAGAGCTGGAAGCCTAGAACAAGGGGGCCCACATCTGTGTATAACCCCCCTTAAACCCTTGATTGACCCCTGAATTGTGCACATTTGGGAAAATCTCCAGTCATCCAAGTTTTCTTTTTTCTACATCCCAAATAATTCTAGAACCAGCTAACAAGTTCCATTTAGCCTCTTCTCATTTTCTCTGCCATTACTGTCATATATTTTTGCTGCCATGTTATAAATCCCATAGGCATTTTTTCTTATTGATGTTTCAACAGACAATATTCATTTATATTTCCCATTTATTTACCCTTTTTGCCACCTTTCATTTTTCTCCAAAGTTCAATACTTCTATCTGGGTTGTTTTCCTTCAGCCTGAAGAATTTCCTTTGGTATTTCTTATCATGAAACTCTACTGTAATACATTCTCTCAACTTGCATTTATCTGAAAATATATTTATTTTATCTTCCTTTTGGAGAATATTTTTGATGAGAATTTTTTTTTTTTTACTAGCACTTGAAGGTGTCATTTCATTGTCTTCTGGCTTTTATAGTTTCTGTTGAAAATTCTGCTGTCTCTTTGTTGCTCTTTTGAAGGTAATGTAATTTATTTTTCTCTGGCAACTTAAAGGTTTTCTCTTTATTTTCAATTTTAAGCAGTTTCACTATAATGTAGTCTAGGCATGGTTTCTTTTGTATTTACCTTCCTTGCAATTGTTTGTACTTCTCAAGTCTCTGAATAGTTGTCTATCAGTTTTGGAAAATTCTTGGACATTACCTTTTCAAAATCTCTTCTACCCAGTTTGCTCCTCTCTTTCTGTGGTTCCAATTGTGTTCCATGCTTATCTTTCCTTTTTTCTGTGTATTTCAGTTTGGATATTGTCGGTTGTTCCATTTCCAATCCACTAATTGTGCCTTCTGCTATATCCAATCAGTTGTGAACCTATCTAATGAGTTCTTAACTTCAGATACTAACTTTTCAATTCTAAATATCTTTTAAATCCTTTAGTAAACTTTAATTCTCTGCTGAACTTCTCAACATTTTTATCCATTTTTGTACACTTTCCCTCTTCTTGTACATATTAATCATGATTTTAAAAGCCCTTGTCTGCTAACCTCACCTGTGGGTCTATTTTTAGTAAATACAGTTGTAAGGGCAGACAGTCTTGCCTTGTTCCTTTTTAGTTTTTTCATTAAATATAATATAGGCTTTTAGGTGATATAGTATGTTTTATCATGTTGAAAGGGACCCATTTTACCAAATACCTTTTCTTCATCTGTGAATAGAGACATGATTTTTCTCTTTTGATCTATTAATATGTTGAGTTACATTACTATATTTCCTAATATTAAACCATTCTTATATTTCTGGAAAAAAATCACAGTTGGTAATGAGATACTATTTTAACATTCTTTTAATATACTGTTGAGTTTGTGTCTAATATCTTACGTACAACTTTTGTACTGGTATTTAAAAGTTAGATTAGTCTTTAGTTCTAATTTTTTTTCTGTGCTGTGTTTGTTAGGTTTTGGCATCAATATCTTGAGCTTCGTAAAAAGAATTTAGGTTTTCCTTTTTCCTATGTTCTATAGCAATTTAAATAAAAGCAGTACCAATTTTTAAAAATTTGTTGGAAAAGTGCCCTTAAACTATGGACTGCTAATCAAAATGTAAAGACAACATCAAAAGCAGGGATTAGAGAGATAAAATACATGAGCAACATATTTTATGATTCAAGATAAAGGAAGCATAGAGACATAATGTAGGCCACATAAAATGCATGCTGGCTGGATGTTGTCCAAGGGCAGCCAACATGAAACCCTATGGAGAAAGACATGGCCACGTTTTACGTATGTTTGTGTCCCCCACTCAAGCCCTAGCATGGTGCTGTGTGGCATCGGGGATAACACCATGGACAAATTCCCCTAATTACTGTGTGACTTTAGGTAGATCAATTTCCTTCTCTCGGCCACTTTCCCCCCATTTTCCAAAAGAGAATACGAACAGTAAAATTTACCTTTAATGTCAGGAGGACTATGAGATATGAGATACTATAGGTAAATTTCCTCACAAGGACTATTTTGGGGGTACAGTAAACTATGCTCATTTTTATCATTGTGATTACTTAATTTTTCCCAAATAAAAATAATTTTCGATGTGATCATAAAAGCAATACAGCTTCACTGCAAAACAGCAGCAAAAATATATAATCATACTGTATATAAACAGGATGATTCCATACACAGTATTATAGTCTAAATTTTTCATGTAATAACACTGTGGTTTCATTGATGCCAGTAATTAATGTGATAAGAGAAATCCTTCACCTTCCTGTTACCATGAGTTCCCTTTCAGTGGCCATAGGCCGTATCCCGGTATAGATGTCCATTGTGAAGAGGGTGCTGGCACTGTTGAAAACAGAAGACAGGGTGGACATGAGAGAAGCCCACATTGCAGATAGCATCAAGCCTCGTACACCTGCAAGAGAAGGGACATTTCCTGGACCTTCAGCTCTCTGTCCATGCCAGGAGATGTCTTAGGCCTCCTAAGAAACTTTCCTATGTACTAAATTATCTCCTACAAAATATGCAAGTTTTATTTGGAGTGAAATTCCATCTAAGATAGATTAATGCATTACGTTTGTCCTTGCTTTGTGACGAAACTTACTAGTTTCCTGCTATGTCTTTATATAATAATGGGAGCTAGTATCTCCTGAGTGTTGCTTTGTGCCAGAACATTTCTTTAGGCATTAGCCAACCCAATCCTCCCTACTGCCTTGTAAGATGGAGACCACTGCTGCCTCCCCACCCTTTACAGATGAGGAGCCAGAGGCTCAGAGAAGGTTCAGACTTTAGGTTCAGCAAGTGATGTTGTTCCTTGTGCCTCAGTGTCTTCATCTGTAAACTGGGCATAAAAGTACTCACCACAGGCTGTTGTTAACATTAAGACAAATTAAGTAGACGGGTTAACACAATTTCCAATACAGAGCAAACACTTAACAAATGTTAGCTATAAACATAACAATCTAGTATTATTAGCTGAAAGGCCACCATGTGGCAGGGAATTTGCTCTGTTGGAAGAGCCTGAGGGTAACTGGTGCCTGAACTGAAGGTCCACTGCAGTGAGGCCTCCATGGAATTTACTGGGCTGCTTGGGCCAGGCTAACACTAGTGTCTTTGGAGTTGCCTTCCTTCAGGTGCCCTCCAGCCCACACTCAGCCCCGGGTGCTCTAAGACAGGCTTAGCTGGAAAATCCGTACAACTTCCTTCCTGAACTGTGGGGTGGTTAGTATTTCCCTCACTCAGATTCCACTGATACTGTATTTAACGGAAAAGTCTCAACTTTTCCAGCCTACTGATCTCCAGAGCTAATATGGAATTTTTAAGACCTGTACTATCCACTGGGCCACTTCCATGGGATTTCAGGGAGCAGGTGAGATGACTGCGCAGGGTCGCCAGCATCTTGCAGTGAAAGCCCTCTCACTGTTGGTGGGCTGCTCGCCTCCCTGCCCATCCCATCCCATCAGACATGAGCTCTTCAAGAGCAGGGCTAGGTTTCTCTCATCCCTGCGCTCTCATGGCCTAGAACAATGCCTAGCACAGTGTGGGGCATCTGTGGAATGAAGGAGCGAAGGCCCGAGCTAAGCTAGGGAAGTAAACAATGGGAATCTCCAGCACAAGTTGTGCCTCTGTGAGCATGCGCACTGGGAGTGGGAGTGTGTGCTCGGATGAAGAGGGAGGAGGTTCTCTCAAGGCGAAAAAGATTTCCTCTATCCAACTAACTCTCCCACTTTACAGCCTATATTTCCACCCAGAAGGATGGGCTGACTGGTACAGAAGCTCTCACAGCCTGAGGGCACAGGCTCCAATGGAGACACAGATCCCGGGATTTCTATGGCCTTTGATGGCAGGTCCATTTCTTACCTCTGGGCAGCAGCTCCACTATCAGCAGTGGGTAGGCGATGAGGCTGCAAGTAGTTAGGGTTCCACAGTGCTTTCTACATTCAGAAGGTGTGATACACGCCACTTTGTCTGCAAAGAGAGATACAGTCACACCAACACGTTGGCCTTAGAGCTCTAAAATCTGAGCTCAGGGAAAAAAAGAATGGGAATAGGAATTACAGATTCCTATTTGACAGATTCTTGGTCTACTGGTGACTCCTCCAATCCATGATCCTATGCACTCCCGAGGAGCCTGGGGCAGAGGCAAAAAGCTAGGAGGTAGGCGCTGAGGAGTCAAGTGAGTTGATGCTTCTACCAATTCACTGCTTGACCCAAAGCAAGTCCTGTGACCTCGACAAGCCTTTTAATGATCCCAGCTACTTGTTAGGAAAGCAAACGGATTATTCATCTACGTACTAATGTGTGAACAACTTGTAACTTACTCCCTTAGCCCTGATAGGGGTGCTATTTTAGAATATTTGGGAAGAAATTTTGGATAAAGGGAAGTAAAGGGAGTGAGTGTGATACACCCTTCAAGAGCTTAAATACAGGATATAAAGTTATGTGAGGACCCCCTCCCAAACAATAAATCAACATAGACTAGGAGGAGGCAGGATATTGCCTAGGTTTATAGGTAAAGTAAGTTATTTTACTGGGGATAGCTAGCTAGCTTACGAAGTGGTTACCAAACATCTGGAGAAAGAATCTAAAAACTCCAAGGGGTGGCTACAGTGAATGTCCATTTTCAGTCCATTTCCATCTGCCTACTCTCCCTTCCCCCTGCTTTGGGAAAAGGCACCTGTCTGACTTGGTCTGGCTATTCTGGAAATTCCTTCTCCTTGGTCACAATGACTGGTCTCTATCATCCAAGTGAGTTTGCTAGGACTCATCTGGGATTTCTGCAGGAACTACTGGGAAAGGAAACACTCTTTCTATGGGAATTGTTGAACTGGTAGGATAGAGGCCTGGTGCTGCTGGTGACGATCTTGCCACCAGATGGCCTGAGGGTGACACCAGCTCAGAAGAAAGAGGAGCCAAAAGTGCACACCATTTCAAACAAAAGCCCAAATAATACAGAGTTCTGCACAGAAAATCAGGTTTAGAGGACCACTCCTCGGCAGTGCCTGGCCCCCAGCTCTGGCCAGGGGAGAGACTCAGAATCACTCTACGGCCAGAAGCATTCCAGTTACTGGAAAAGCATATTCTTCCAGGAACCTGAGCAGGTGCCAAGCTTTCATGATAAATGACTTTCTGGCTTTCTACACTTGGCATGTGTAAATGGATCTGTGAATGTGGCCATTTCTGAGGACTAGGAACAAGTGGTTCCGGGCCCTTTTCCGCCCCAAGAGCTCTCCCTAGTGCACTCCATCAACTCTATTCACCTCTTGGTCAGAAGGCTGGAGGGAGTGTGACTTCCTGAGGCCACTCCAGCTAGATGGAGAAGCTATGCCCCTCTCTTCCTTCTCCTACCCTTAGCAGCTTTTAGAGTTCAAACTACATGCAATTCTGCCCGATCTTGATCTTCAGTGAGCAGGGCAGTCCACAGGGTGGAGTGGGGAGGGGGAAACAGGATCCATGAAGCCCAGGGCACTGTGGGTCCTGGAGAGCACAGAGGCTTATTTTCTATTTAATAAAGAGATAACACTTTTGAGACCCAAAAGATCGCTGCCTGACAGACAAAGAACAAACATGGGAATGTTGAAACAGAACACACCTTCCTTTCTGTTAAAACTGGAAAGGAATTAGGATTAAAAAGAGGCATGTCGGGGCAGACTGAAAGATGACTTAGGGTTAGAGAGGTCTGCTGCACATGCTACTGCACAATAAGAAGTATTTGCACCCTGTGTGCTTGGCCATGGCACTGCAGCAGAAGACACTCATGATATTGCCAGCTTCGTCCCACTGGCTGCACTTATCAGAGCACATGCTCCATAAAGGATGAATGAATAAACAACCTGGGACCCTGAGGGACAGGACAGCTAGTAAAACTAGGGGATGAAATAGATCCACAGAATGATGGGAGCTAATTAAGGGAAAAGGGATGTTTTCATAGCATTTAATGGAAAGAATGTGGGCCCTACTTTGGGGTTACATGGAGCTCCCCCTCCTACATGCCTCATCTGTGCAATGAGGCTATACAAGCCCCCTCTGGGGCTGTGAGAGCAGGGACAGAATCTGTGAGATTGCCGGCACAGAACTTGGCACACAGGCCCACCAGTATGCTGTCTGAGATGCAAGGGGAGGAACTTGGCCTTCCAGCCATGGCAAAGGCTGGGAGCCAGGTATAGGGAGCACTGGTTGGCTCTCTCCTGCCTGAACTTCTATCTTGGAATTTCTCTCTTGCCACCTACCATGGTCTCTGCAAGACTTCTGTTCAGCTGTATCCCTAATCCAAACCCATTAGCTCCCAAGGCAGCTGTCTGGGGAATCCTGACACCAGTACACTGTACGAGACCTGATAACCCCAAATGCTATCTAGAGCTCTTAGACAAGAGTTGATTGGGATGAACACATCAGAATCAAATTTACCTGTGTACAGGACGCGGCTGATCATTCCGGGCATCACAATACTGAACATGGGCAGCAGCTTCAAGTACCCACAAAAGACACAGCCACCCTTCACGTGAGACATGCTCCTCCCTGCCAAGCACCTCTGGACAAAAACCTGCCAAGGAAACACGAATGGGTGAGGGAGGTGATCGTTTTATCAGAGCATATAAAGCCCAAGCCACCCTGGCACAGAAGGTTGCCAGATGTGGTCTCTGGTGGGTTTCTGCTAAGCTGATCACCCAAATAACCCAGGCATCTCCAGGACATCCAGGGCCAGAGGAGATGTGTGTGACCAGTAAATGTGTTTTGCGAGGTGCAGAGCTGCCAGAGGGGTCAGGGATGGCGTGTATGGCTTTGGTCTTATTGCTAGCACTGCACACCAATCATGGCAATGCAGTCCCCTGGCAAGAACAAGACTCCCTCCGTATCTGCTGGGTAGAAGGAAGAGAGCCCTGAGACATCAATCAAAGCAAAGGTGGGTACCTGGCACGAATAAGTATTCAGAACTGGGACCAACTTCATTCATCTAAATTTAAATGAACCAGTATAGACCTTTAAAATGCAAAAATCTCCTTCAGAAGATGTTTTAAGACCCATTTCATGGTGCTCCTGTTGTAAGAGGCAGTGTGCACTCAGGCTGAAAAGAATAGCACAGCTGGTGGGTGGAGAAGCACTTAAAAAAACACAAAGACATGGTCCAGTGCATCAAAACAATTCAGTACTATGTATGCACTGAAATTACGCTCTTGAAGAACATTCAAGTAATATGAAAAAATGCTCACAGTGTGATGGTAACTAAAAGGCTCAGGATGCAACAACAGCATATCTACCATGACTCTACACCTAGGAAAAAGTCCACAGGAATAAAGCAATACGATAATAGTGGTTAATTCTGGGGTGGTAGGATTAAAAGGCAGGATTTTCATTTTCTTCTTTATTTTTCTGGGGCACGGGGATCAAACTGGAAACCGAGGTATGTGCCCTTGATTGGAATCGAACCCAGGACACTTCAGTCTGTGGGCCAACTCTCTAACCACTGAGCAAAACCTGCTAGAGCTACAGTCTAGCTTCTTTACTGGCATAATGCTTTGAAGATTTACCCATGTTACTAGAGGTAGCTGTACTTCCTTTTTATTTCTATATTTCCTTTTCACTATATGAGTATTTCACAATTTATTTAATGATCTACCATTGAGAGAAAGCCATAGAATTTTTAGAATAAGTTTGAGTCCTTAAAAATCTAACTGAAATACTGTTTGGTTGCATTTAATTTGTTGACTCAATTGAAGAGAACTGACTTATTTTTCATATCCTAAAAACTGTATTTTAAGTAATGACAGGAAAGAAAAAAAGAATGAAAACAGTTGATGTGCTATAGATGCCACTGTGGGAGAAGTTTCTATTAAACAGAATTTCATATAAAGTTATTTAGGCAATAAATAAAGATTGGAAGGGAAACTTAACCACTGAGTGCAGACAGGCCCACTGTGGTGGAGCCTGGAATCCGCTGAGGACCATCAGCCCCCCATGTGGTCACTTAAGCTACAATGGGTCTAATTACCTGATCCGTGCACCAGTAGTATAAGGAGAGGATGGGGATGCCAAGGATGACTCCAGGCCAGGGGAGGTCTCCAGTGACGGGATGTCGGAAGATATGGAAAGAATCCGGGCGAGGGAGGTAGCACTGTGGCTTGGCAGTCCAGTTTCCCTCCTGGACTATGCTTGGCTTAGCATTTAAATAACTATGCTGCAGCCCCTGGTATCCTCCCACTTCTTTAAAGGCTTAAAAACAACATAAAACTTATCAGTACCTTAAATTGTACAATAACACACATCGAAAGATCCAAGATTGCAAAGTAAGACCCAGTTTGATGTCAGTCCATTGCACTTTATATGTCTAATATATAAAGTGCAATGGGGTGACAAATAGTCAAGACTATGTGCCTAAGAAATGACGTCATCTTTCTCAGAGAGAAAGAAGAGTACAGTAGACATTGATGGCTATGTGCCCAGCAACCCCTGATCCTGATTCTGGTAGCAGAGCCCCTCTTTCCAGCTGCATTCCATCCTATGTGGCTTAGGTGGGCTTAGTCAAACTGTCTACCATTCCAGTCTGGTATGTGACCCAGGCCTGGCCAATGTTCCCTATCCCCTGGGCAATGACTGATGGAATGAATTTGAGACTCATGCTCAGCTAATTAGGATTTGCCCCAGGAGTCATTCTTCTGATTAAGGAACCAAAATAAGCCTGCTTTCTTCCTTTGGGGTTCTCAGTCTGTATGGCCATTTGAAGCTCTTCTGTCTGCCTGATTTATGCAGAACCCTGGATCTAGCCATTCCTGAAGGAAATGTGACCCTGGACTTATTAGTTATGTGAGCCAAGAAAGCACTATTTGCTTATATTGGTTTTAAACTAAAATACTATCACAAATTATCAAAAGAATCTTGACTAAAACAGAAATTAATATTTGTTTTCCTGCAATGCCAGCAAGATGTTTATGAAACTTCATATTTGAAATTTTCTTCAAAGCCTGTGACATTTCTCCCTCTATAAGTGGTATAAAATCTTAACATTAAAAACCTGGCTGGTGTGGCTCAGTTTGTTGGGTGTCATCCTGTGCACTGAAAGGTTGTCAGTTCAATTCCTGGTCAGGGCACATGACCACACTGGGGCTCGATCCCCAATCAATGTTCTGCTCTTACATGGATCTCTCTCTCTCTCTCTGTCTCTCTCCCCCTCCCTCTCTCTCTCTAAAAATCAATTAAAAAAAATCTTAACAAAGTTAAAATTTTGTAAAAGAGAAATAAATGGTGATGGAAGACTTGACTTAGGGTGGTGAACACACAATACAATATACAGATGGTGTATTATAGAATTGTACACCTGAAATCTATATAATTTTACTAACCAATGTCACCCCAATAAATTCAATAAAATTTTTTTTAAAAAGTTAAAAATTTGCCCTGGCCAGTTTGGCTCAGTGGTTAGAGCATCAGCCCTCATACTGAAGGGTTCGGGGTTCAATTACGGCCAGGGGCACGTACCTCTGTTGCAGGCTCCAGGCCCGGTTGGGGCATGGTAGGCAACCAGTCAATGTCTCTCTCACATCGATGTTTCTCTCTCTCTCTCTCTCTCTCTTTCACTCTCTCTGAAAAGCAATGGAAAAAATATCCTTGGGTGAAGATTAAAAAAAAAAAAATTAAAATTCTGTTTGACTGAAAGAAGAGATTTGCATCATGTATAAAGAACTCCTATACATCAATAGCAAAGAAAATTACTAGAAAGAAATATGGTAAGAATATGACCAGGTGGTTCACAAAAAGAGGAAGTACATATGGCCACTAAGTATATGAAAAGATTCTCAACCTCACCAATGTCTAGAAATTTCAAATTAAAACAAAAATGAGATACATTTGTTTTCTTCATCAGCTGGGCATATTTTTAAAATGTCTTAAAACATTAAGTTTTAGCTGGGAGATTTACACGACATATATTCTCATACATTGCTGAAAATATAAATTAATACAGTAGTCCCCCCTTATCTATGGGAGATATGTTCCAAGACCTCCAGTGGATTCCTGAAATTGCTGACAGTATCAAACCCTATAATACATTTTTTTCTTATACATACATACCTATGATTAAGTGCGTGCTGTTTTTTTTTATAAATTAGGCACAGTAGATTAATAACAATAACTAATAAGAAAATAAAACAATTGTAACAACATACTATAATAAAAGTCATGTGAATGTTGGTTTCTCTCTCTCAAAATATCTTTTTGTACTGTCCTCCCCTTTTCACTTAAAGGAAGCACTTTATGGCTTCTCTTTGGCAACCTAAATTGCTAGCATCACTACTCTTGAGCTTTGGGGACATTAAGTAAAATAAAGGTAACTTGAATACAAGCACTGCAATACTATGACAGTTGATTTGATAACTCAGATGGCTACTAAATGACTAACTAGTGGATAGGGTATACAGTATGGATTTGCTAGACAAAGAGATAATTTATGTCCCAGGTGGAATAAAGTGAGATTTCATTATACTACTAAGAATGGTATGCAATTAAAAACTTACTCATTTTTTATTTCTGAAATTTTCCATTTAATATTTTTGGGCTGTGGTTAACTGTAGGTAACTGAAACTATGGAAAGTGAAATCATGTATAAGGGGTAACTACTCTATAGCCAGTTTAGAGAGGAATTTAGGGTAACTCTTGAAAAGCTGTGTTTATTCCAGTTAATGCAAGGCTGAGTTAACATTCAAAACCAACTTGCTGCAATATACCATGTTAACAGAATAACGGAGAAAAGTAATAGAATCATCTCAGTAGATGGGGAAAAACACTTGACATAATTAAAAACCGTTTATGATAAACAATCTTAGTAAACTAGGAATGGAAGGGAACTTCGTTAGTATGACAAAGAGTACCTACAAAATTGACAGCAAATATTTTCTTTAATTGTGAAATAGTCAAAGCTTTTCCTCTAATATTAGGAATGAGACAAGAATGTCTGCTGTCTTTACTTCTATTCAACACTGTACGAAAGGTCATGGCCAGTGTAATAAGGCAAGAAAAAGAAACAAAAGGTATAAAGTTTGAAGAGGAAGGAAACAAAAAGATAACTTGTTGACTTGGGTGCTAGTTACCAGTGTGTGCTCAATTTGTGATATTTCATCTACTATACACTTTGACTTGTGTACTTTTCAATAAAAAGGTTATTACAAATATAAAAACAAAAACGATGCAGTAGATCTCTATTCACTGTCATAGAAATTTGCCTATGATATAGTACCAGTGGTGGAAAAACAAGCACAAATTTTTAAAAAATTTTTTCTATTGATTTTTTTTTTTTTTTTT